CCGCTGGTAATAATTTTCCCTGAGACGGTGTGGACACACCTCCTAAACAACCTTCACAAATTTCTTTCCTAAACGCTAGCACGCTCGTTGACCTGTGTACCAAGCAATCACCACCTGCCTATTCCAGGCTCCTGTGGGTCTGTGCCCCTTCTAGTCCCTCCCAGGGGGATGATCAGGCCCCCTCTTCCACCCTGTTGGGTGGGTTCTTCCTCACCTGAGCACTCAGTTCCCCTGCTGCCATCCACTACCTGCTAACGTGAAAGGTCTGGGCATTGAGAAGCAGAATGCTTCCAGAAGGCAAGGTGCCTTCCCCCCTCTAGAAGATTCAAGTCACAAGGCCTCGGAGTAGTCCCAAATGGGACTTGTCTCCTCGAAGTGAGGAGTTTCCCGGCCAATGCACCAAATGTTGTAGCCACGCCTTTCGGGAAACAAACTCACTCAGAAGGACAATGCAGATAGTGGAGTGTAGTTTATTACACTGGTGGGCCCAAGGCACATTCTCCTTAGTCAAGGACCTCGACCAGTTTTTGTGAAAACCTTATATACCCTAAGCGTACGTGTCCAAACCCATTTCCTGACAAACGAAAAAGAAAGATACAATCAAAGTTAACCCGTGATTCATAAGCCTTAAGCCTAGGTAGCTAACAGTGGACAATTATCGATATGCTTGTGGTCATACCCCAATAAGCATAATAGAATGTATGATTCTATTCCGTTACACAGATAATAGGGTATTCTTTTAGGAATGGAGAACCCTGGGGCTCTTCTATCCAGGCGGCCTGGTTTTCCAATCGGTATGTCGTTTCCATAGATACTGTGCATATAGCTCAAAGTCCACAGTCCGGCCCAAGATGGGAGTCCGGTATTCAAGATAGGTTCTGTTCTGTTTCCTCCTTCACTTGGGGAACTGAAATCCCACATGCCATGCGGCACAATCAAAATTAATAACACTCCACCACCCCCCCCCCCAAGTATTAACTGAGTGCAATGCCAGTTTCCAGTGGTAAGCCTTTATTTAGCACCCATAGGGTACACAGCACCATACAAGATGAGGTTTCTGGCGCACGGAACAAATACACAAAAGAACACAGACGCGGGTAATTAAGTCGCAGTTACAAAATAAGTTGCTCTGTAAAAAAGAAACATGTAATAGCTGGTGGTTTGCTGAGGCAATCAAAGGAAAAACTTCTGGAAGTCTTGCTTTTTGAGCAGGTTTTGAAGAGAGGAAAGGAGGCAAATTGGGGATAGAAAAGAGAAACAGGGTTAAAAAGGATAACTTAGTCTTGACCAACACACATGAATTACAGAAGAAGGTATGTGGAGCAGCAAAACAAGAGAAAAGGGCAGGCTCTGGCAGCAGTTTTTTGCCTTCAAGCAGTAAGACTGACTCCTTGCCAGGCCAAAAGGAAAGGCCTAAAGAGACCGAATAAAAGATTGAACAGCTCAGCTGGGCCAAGTGAAGCAGGTGAAGGGCCCCTTCTCCCACTGTCAGGTCATAATCTCAGCTTTTCAGTGTTTCACTCTCAAGGAGGAGCAGACTGCCAAGGTCGCTAACTGAGGAAAGCCTAAATCCTGAAAGACAAAGACCAAAGGAAACATACAAAGAAAACAGAAACCTTGTGGGTCACAGAATATTCAGGAAGAAAATATAGACACGAATGCCTGTGTGTCATGTACTATATAAATATTATTTTCCAAGAGATAAGATACTGCAACCATGAACCAAAAATAGGATACTACTGAAGAAAAAAAAAAACGTTCAAAGAGAGCTCTAGAAATAAAAAAATGAGACACCTCCCCCCTCCCCCAAAAATAAAGAAACCAAAAAACCCACCACAACAGACAAATTGGAAGATTAAATTGAGGAAATCTCCCAGAAAGTAGAGCAAGAAGACAAAGCTGGAAATTAACAGAGAAGATAAGAAAATCAGAGAACCAATCCTGGAGGTCTTATGTCTGGGTAACAGGAATTCGAGAAAGAGAGAACAGATAAGGTATCATTAAAGAAACACTTCAGTTCCCTGAACTGAAGAACAAAGTTTTCAAATTGAAAGATCCCACCAAGCACCTAGTATGAGGTATAATAATAGACCTTTACTGGGAATAGAACACTGGGTCAAAGAGATTGCTGTAAGGTTCAAGAGAGAGAAAGACTGGTCATGAATATAAAAGATAAAGATTGGCCTCTGACTTCCAATAGTCACTCTGAAGGCCAGAGGTGAGAACATTTTCAGATTTCAAAGCAGCAACACTGGAATGTAGCAGGTATATTCAAAATTGGGTATGAAAGCTACTCATGAACTCTCTGTCCTGCCAAAACAGCAATCAAGTGTAAGGGCAAAAGAACATGTTCAAACATACAGTCTCATTTACCTCTCATTTTTTCCCTTTCAAAAGGTACTGGAGGATGGTGCTTCACCCATAAAGTGAAAGTTACTCACTTGTGTCCAACTCTTTGTGACCCCATGCCCATATGTGGCAGTAAATCAATGAAAGGAGAAATAAGGGGATTTAACTAGAAATAAACCTGACATTGGAAAGACAAAGGGAATCTCTAAGATGCTGACAGGAAATGACAACTGGGAACCAGTACAGATGAAGAAGATCAAGATGTCAGCTCTCTGTACAAATTTCCTACACTTTCCAAGTGTCTTCACTTTATTTCAGTGCGTTGCCTAAAATTCCTGCATGTTTACTGTGAATAAATGAACTTCTCAGCTTTCCCCATTTGTCTATGGCTGTCGGGTTACAATTTCTTGCTCCCTTTCCTAGCTCTTTGGTTTCCCACTCTCTAAACCACCTTCAAGGTAAATTTTTATTTAGTTCAATATTTTTAAGAAATTAAATCCAGTACAAATTTAGATTCTTGTTTAAAAGGTGCTGCTGCTGCTGCTAAGTCACATCAGTCATGTCTGACTCTGTGTGACCCCACAAATGGCAGCCCACCCAGGCTCCTGTGTCCCTGGCATTCTCTAGGCAAGAGCACTGGAGTGGGTTGCCATTTCCTTCTCCAATACATGCATGCTAAGTTGCTTCAGTCGTGTCCGACTCTGTGCGACCCCATGGACTACAGCCCACCAGGCTCCCCTGTCCACGCACGGGATTCTCCAGGCAAGATACTGGAGTGGGTTGCCATTTCCTTCTCCATTGTCTGAAAGGTAACCAAAGGTAATTAAACCCAGAAGCAAGCTGAGAAAAAAGAAAAAAATAAACCCTAAAAAAAACAGAACTACTTCAATTACTCCTTTTTGAGCTAGTATTCCCATGCTGGCTCCAAGGGTGGGGAGAATTTCCTAACAGCCAAATGTACATCTTAGTTACAGATAAAAGTTAGTTTTAACTCTCGGAGACTTTCACCCCCTTTCCACTACATGATCATGGTCAGGAAACCTACAGCAGAGTAAATCTTTCCCTTTTTCTCTAGGAAAATAATTTGCACATCATGCCCAGGCAAGTCCAATGGTCTGTTTCAGACTTTTTCAACAAAATTGTTCTAAGTGAAATTCTTACCCAGCACCATCTCTTCTGGCAATAAATAAGCCACGTCTGACTATTCTCTTAAGTTTCCTTTTCTTACGGCTCTACTCTGTCTAGAACAAAAATATTTCAGCTCCTCCAAGTTTCTATTCCCTCTTTTCCTGTGTTTGTATAGAAGGAGTGAAGAGAATCTGTGGAAAAGAAGTTTCATTTCAAAAAATGTGCCAAAACTTTCCCCTAGGAGAGTTTCTCTTCTTTCTCATTCAAGTGGACTTACAGGACACTATTTCATCGAGCTTCTCCAATTAACTTAAAATACTTGGAAGTAATATGCACAATATTAATATTCTTCAGGCTCTGATGCCCATCTTATGGCTCACAATGGTAAATTATTTGCCAGGAATTAAACATAAATTTTGTAGGTAAAGAGGTGAAATTTGGCCCTGTGGGCCCTGAAAGTCAAAGATAATAATTACAAAAACAGCAAGAAGTGCTGAAATCAATTGTGACACTTGTTCTGAATATATAATTTACAAATAAGTTACAAATTATATAGTGCTATTTCATATAAAATATACACATCCATTCTACTCATGTATAGTTGAACAGCAGTAAGAATAAAGAGATAGACTATGCATATGAAAATGTCCTTATTTTGTTCCAAGCATTTCTAAGTAATGCAAATAAACTCTCCCAATAAGGGTAAACTGAGAGGAATTCTCTTGACAGATCGTAATGTAAATTAATTCCACTGACCAGCGGGGATTCTTTTGCACGGCCCTAGTTTCAGCTTGATCAGCTGATCTCATGAGCAGGCATCAACCAGATTTATAGTATTTTTTTCCTGCACTTGTTAACCCCACACTGGCAGAGGATTTCTTTCTCAGGCATAGTCCCAGCTTCATAACCATAATCCCATGTTAGTTCTGTTCTTGCTTTCACATACCTGGAAAGTAGAAATTTTAAAAATAATCACAGATTATCTTGAATGAACCAAATTTTACTATAATCAATTTTCATATTAACATCATTAACCCTCCTCAACAATATGGTTTTCTCTCTCCAACATCCACTACTTAGGAATGTTCTTTTATTAAGGATAATCATTTGAGTTTTATTTCAAATCTATTAAAATCCCAAATAAGAAGAAACTCATCAATATCCACAAGGGATTAAGTGTGTTTTTTTTAAAAAGAGTGGGCCCCAGCAATGTGCTGAGGCCTGGGGAGGTAACCGTGGGTAGTTTTGACTTAAAAGATGTAGCATTCTGCATCATTTACTCTCTGAACTGAACTGGCTGAGACCTGCAATTCTTAGCCTTTTTGGACATTAATTCTAAGAGGAAATAAGAATTAAAATTTCAACTATTTAAAATTTTATCGCCTCTAAACATTTTGGGATGACTGAGTATTCTAGGGTACCAGAGAGTTGGGGCTATAGCATATATCTTATTTTAATATTTTTGTACTGTTATTTTTAAAGTCACAATTTCAAAATTAATCATATTAAAAAATTTTTCAAACCTGTTGGTGAAGAACGCCACCAAGGGAAAACTTCTGTCATGTGTTTCTACAAAAACATTCTGTACCGAAAGATTTGGGCAACAACTATGCTGTTAACAAAAATAGACAAACACATAAGTTAGATATAGCATAAAGTCTGATACATTGTTCTTTGAAGCATTAGAATACTATTCTGTTTCCAACACATCTTACTTATTTTTATTTCTTTTTTTTTTCTGACTAGTATGCAAAATATCATAGCTCATTACAATTTTGTTGATTGTAGGAATTCATTCAGAAAGCCCTGTTTTGACATTCTTACACCTTGCCAGTAGAAATGAAAAATAGTAAAAACTCCTATTTATCATTATTATAAATGCATGTATCTTTTGATTCAACAATCCAGTATCTGGGAGTGTATTCGACAGATATATCTGCATATGTATCCACATAAGATTATTTACTGAACATTGTTTTCAACAGTAGAGGACTGGAAGCAATCCAAATGTCTATCTAAAGAGGATTATTTAAACTTCGGGACAGCCACACGTTGAAACCATATGTACCTATAAACAAAAAACAAATGGGGAGCTCTGTGTACTCAAACAGAAAGATCTCCAGAGTATATTGTTAACTTAAAACACAAGGTGTAGGGCACTGAATGTAACATGTTATCTTTTAGGTAAGGGGTAGGAATAAGAACACATCCTTACACTTACTTGTATTTGCATAAAGAAACACTATAAGAATATACCAAAAAGTAATAAAAAATGATTTTACTATAGAGGGTGGATTGGGGGCAGGGTGAACAGGGGCAGAGTACATTATTTTTAAAACAAAACAAAAAGTTTAACATGAAGAATATGTTATGACCTGAATTTTACATCATAGTCAAACAGATCCTTTGGAAAGGGTATCTATGTAAGTAATTGATTTCTCTGCTGAACACACCATTATTTATTGTTTTTCCAAGGCTTCTAACATGGTGATAATAACTATTTCCTATCACCACCAATTCAGTGTTATTTTGCTGCACATGAGCTGTTATTGCTACACAGTCATCTATCACCAGATTCATAAAGGGATCGAATCCCAGCAATATTTCTCAGACACATTTACCACTGTTAGATTTCAATGATAACTTCCTATCATCCATACATTTTTTTTCAGTTTGAGCCTGGTGAGCTTTACTCAGGGTACCTACTTGGGAGGGTCAGAGCTGCTGTGAAACAATTCTGTTTGTATGTATTCTCTAAGGTGTTCTATTTTATTTAAGTTTTTAAATCATGAGACTGGATTATCTATGTAGAAAATTAAATTTAAAAAGACAGAAAAGCCTTGTTTTTCTCCTCCTACAAACAAGGGGGGATCTAGATAGTGAGACCAACCATAACATTCCAGTGCAGCCACTATTCAACGTAACTGACTGGAAAGAAAGCCACGACAGTTCTTTGCTAGGGATCATTCTTTACTGATCTCCTGGCTCTCCTGGCATGTTTAGTAGCTTCCAGCATGTTTGGCAATAGTGTAGAAGTAGTGAAAGTGCAGGAGACCCAGGTTCGATCCCTGGGTCAGGAAGATCCCATGGAGACGGGAATGGCAACCCACTCCAGTATTTAGAGAGGATTCTCTTGTTAACCAAGTATCCTAACTAGGAGAGAGAAAAAGAAAAAGGCCAAACAGATTTCTCTAGAAAGAAAAAAAAGTTCTCTGGTTTCAAAGATTTTCTGACTTGAGAGTACTTTTTCCTCTGATGGCACATGAATTACATGTAAAATGATCAGTAAACATCAATTTCAAACCATTCAAATGTCACATTTTGAAGAGGTGTTGAGGGAATTCCCTGGTGGTTCAGTTCTTAGGACTCTACTTGCACTGCAGAGGGCACAGGTTTGATCCTTGGTCAGTGAACTAAGATCCTGTGAGCCTAGTAGTACAGCCACAAATAAATAAATAGGTCTTCAGTTTAGCAAAGGAAATACATAAAAGAATCTTGGGCTATGCATGCTTCCCATTATTTTAAGGGAAAAGTCAAAGCTGCCCATCCCACTAACTGAACCCCTCAGTGAGGAAGAAGAGCTCTGATACAGAGCAAAGAGGAAAATTAAGGCCATATCCAGAGATCAGTGAACCTGAATGGACCTTTCCAAAGGATGTGTGGAGGCTATCACAAAGTTCCCGTCCTGCTTCCACGACTCCTCACCACCCTCCTGGGTAGGGTAAGTCAGAACAAAGTAGAGCCCAGAGAGTAGGAGGAATGCAGGTGGCTTCTGCACGGTCCAGCTGGCCAAAGACAGGACAGTCTATATACACTGGGACTAGTGGTAAAGGTATTTTTCTTTTTTTCCCTGGAAAATTTCTGGGACTATACATTCTTTGAAAAGCATGTATGATGGTAGGAGGCAGGAGAGACGAGACTGGCAGTCTGATGGGAAAAGCTAGCTCCAATTCCACCTTACACAGTAGTTATGGCCAATAATACAAAGTATCCCTTTCATCATGAAGATGCCAGGAGTCTTAAGTGTCAATGAACCTTGTGAAGTGAAAGTTGCTCAGTCGTGTCTGACTCTTTGCAACCCCCATGGACTATACAGTTCATGGAATTCTCCAGGCCAGAATACTAGAGTGGGTAGCCTTTCCCTTCTCCAGGGGATCTTCCCCACCCAGGGATCGAACCCAGGTCTCCGGCATTGCAGGCGGATTCTTTACCAGCTGAGCCACAAGGGAAGCCCAAGAATGCTGAAGTGGGTAGCCTATCCCTTCTCCAGTGGATCTCCTTGACCCAGGAATAGAATGGGGGTTTCCTGCACTGCAGGCAGATTCTTTTCCAACTGAGCTATCAGGGAAGCCCAATGAACCTTAAATCAGAGAAATCATAAATATTCCTCTATATAAATGAAAATAAGTCTCATTACATATATCCCAAACATACACAGAAACAGCAAATGACTATGGCTTAGGAATAAAAAAAGAGTAAGATAGTAAAATGCAATATTCTGATAAACGCACTGGTTTTCTGTACTAAGCCACTGCTGCTGCTGCTGCTAAGTCGCTTCAGTCGTGTCCGACTCTGTGCGACCCCATAGACGGCAGCCCACCAGGCTCCCCCACCCCTGGGATTCTCCAGGCAAGAACACTGGAGTGGGTTGCCATTTCCTTCTCCAATGCATGAAAGTGAAAAGTGAAAGTGAAGTCACTCAGTTGTGTCCAACTATTAGCAACCCCATGGACTGCAGCCTACCAGGCTCCTCCGTCCATGGGATTTTCCAGGCAAGAGTACCGGAGTGGGTTACCATTGCCTTCGCCAGTACTAAGCCACTAAATCACTTAAAATTTAGTGAGAGCAGTAAAACCTAAGTGCTCCCAACTAATTTTTTTTAATAGAGGTATTTCTGAATAAGACCTTCTATTATATGAGACACAAAAGAAAAACTTATTCTATGTGCCCCATTGTTTTTTCAAAGGAATGCATCTTAAAAGCCTTTCAGTAAATATATATGATTTTCTTACTTATCATTTCTTATAGTTTCTTTAAGCAAATGTTTACTGTGTGCTAGATACTGTTTAAGCACTTTATATATAATAAATTTAATCTTCACAGCATTCTAGACAGTTATTAACTCTGTATTATTGAAGTGGGAAATACAGCATGGAGGGGTCAAGTGAGACGTCCAAGGTCATATAAGTAGAGGACTGTCATTCTAATCCAAGTAGTGTGGCTTCGGAATCTGTCAGTCATATTTTCCTCATGATTTTGTGAAGAAGCCTAGGAAAAAAATGTGTTTAGACAAAGGAATCTCAGCCCACATACTCACATTAAGGAAGCGGCCCACATTTCCTTCTTTTGTGGCATCCAATAAAAACACATTCCCTTTATTGAACTTCTCTAGAGAATCAGATGAAGCATCCTTGGTTTCATTTGGTAACTCTTTACCACAAAAGACCTGCTGGTTTTGACATGCTGGAGACTTTTCCTCTTGGGGCTTTTGTAGTTGAGCCTCGTTCGTGTCACCCAGTGTGACTGCTTGGTGACATGTGCCCCCCGACGGAGTTTCTTCTCTACACTTGGTTATATCTATCACATCGTTGTCTTCAGAATCTTCAACTTGGTTTGAGCTTGAGTCCTCTAATAAACATTTTGGAAGGAATTGTCAGGGAATATAATTGGCTGAGCAACACTGCTGAGAGTAACAATACTAATTAACTGCAAGTTAATTATTGCTAATCTGTACAATGTATTAAGGTACACAGTACTTCAGTTTTACAAATGAAAACTCTGAGCTTCTGAAGGCTTAAGGGATTCACTCAACTAACTAGCAATAATAATGAGAAGTGGGGTAAGAAACACAGAAACATCTGATTCTGAAGTCTACCTTCTTTCTACTACCTAACAATGCCTTTTTATGAATCTGTATACATGTTGCTTCCTGTTACTATACTTAAGCTCTACTTACAAATTGACTTCTCTTCAACTTTGGACTCTGCATTTAAATATATTCTAGACAGCTGTAACAGAGAGGGTTTAGGGAGCATTTTAGGCCTTTATGATACCAATGAAAGGCTGGGGAGACCATGATAAGAGTCACCCACTCTAAGGCCCAGGAGCAATAACTACCGCTATGGACTTTGTATATGTTTTTGCTGGATGATCATTCAGTTATTACACTTTTACAAACAACAATACTTTAGAAGATTAACTGCTTATTTTTCTTATCCAATAATGCAAATAATTTTCCAAAATATTCAAAAGTGTGAAGGCATGTCAAATGGAGTACATAACATTATTGTTAAAATGTCATTTGTGCCACCTAATTCAGTGGCAGAAAGAAATTATACTTTTCTAAAATTAATGTTTTTGATGTAATCATAACTGTTTCTAGCTGCTTTTTCCTATCATGGGTTACTTGCAGTAATATTAATAGTACATAACTAATTTTGTAGTGCCTGCTATGGGTACTGTAGTGGTCAATGAAAACAACAAAAGAACCAAGAGCAATAGTATTCAGATGACTTTCATGCATTAAATGGTGATATATCAGAATGTTGTCCCCAAATACATATTTTTGACATAAGAACTATTTTGAGCTAAGGGCAATTTGAGCTAAGCAGTAATACAGGAAAATCTCTCAGTCCTCTCCCCTCTCTGTCTAAAAACAGGATATAAATTTACAAAGGTGTCCTTCTTTCTATTAATACTAGGAAGGTGGGGAGTTGGGGGTGCATATGCCAAGGAAGCCCAAAGAGAGAAGAGGCCATGGTCAGTCAGTTCTTCACAAAGGGTCATGTCTCAGCAACATCTCTTCACTGAGAGATATACTGAAATGCAAATAAACTAAAGTCCAGTTTTGTCAGGTTTTAATATTAAATTGGGCTTCCCTTGTGGCTCAGCTGGTAAAGAATCCGCCTGCAGTGTGGGAGACCTGGGTTTGATCCCTGGGTTGGGAAGATCCCTGGAGAAGGGAAAGGCTACCCACTCCAGTATTCTGGCCTGGAGAATCCCATGGACTGTACAGTCTATACCATGGCAAGACTGGTAACACAAAGACGAGCACTCAGGGCAGCAATACTTTCACTTGTTACTAAGCATCCTCTGGGGCAGCACTGGCTGGAATACTGCAGGAGAACGTCATGTCTTTATTTTAAAGGAGCCTAAATAAAGAGTTAGGAGATGGCTGTGCTGGGCAGGGCTTCCAAAGCCAGAGATGGACTGTGAGTTGTCCACACTATTCTCCTGCCCAGCATCAGGTCACGGCTGGCATCTAGACCAGGGGTCAGCAAACTTCTTCTGTATGGGGCCAAACAGTAAACACTGTGGGCTATACCATCTCTGTTGTGAGTATTCAGCTCTGCTACTATAGTGTTAAAGTAGAGACAATATGTAAATGAAAGAGTGTGGCTATCTTCTGATACAATTTATTTAGCAACACTGAAATTATAATTTCCTGTAAGTTTCGAGTGTCACAAAGGATTATGTATCTTCTCATCTCTTCTCAGTTATTTTAAAAGGTAAAAATTATCTTAGCTTACAGGGCATACATAAACCGGCGGTGGGCTGGATGTGGCCCACAGATCACGGTTTGTCGACCTCTGATCTAGACATATAGAAAGCCTTGTGATGAATGCAGCATTTTTGTAACAGTGTCTGAAAAAATGAGCTACAAGTATTGAGCAAGAGAGACAAAAAGGCAGAAGAGGCAGGCAACCACAGAATGAAACAAAGCCTACTTCTCGTTTCCTTGGCTTTAGAGTTCAGATGTACTTGAGCTGGATTAAGTTCCCCATTATCTTCTGAGGCGACAGACTCTGAGGAAGTAAATCCCTTAAAAGAAAACAAGGAAGATGTCTTTACTTTCTAGGTTAGGAAAAAGAATTTAAGTTAGCAGTAAGACCTCTTTCATCAAGTATCAATCTCCACAGACTGCAGCAATTAAATTAGTTTTCAAAGACTCAAAGCTGATAGCCTGAGCAATCTCTGACACGATGGAGCCCTTTTAGCTGTGTTCTACTCCCAGGCATTTTAGTGAGGCACAGCTATGAGAATTATAAGGACTGTCTAGACATTCTTGAGGCATTATAAATTCAAAATAAAATACAAATACCGACAGGTATGTTGGTATCCATCAATTCTGATACCAGATGATAAATTTGGCTACCACTATAAGATGTGCAAAGATTAAAAACACTCTTTGGCTAGTTACTTGAAAGAAAAGGTTAAAGGAGCTGCCTATCTCCATGAGTTGAGGACACTGCAATCACTTTATATGGTAATGATAACTTTCAAAAAGGGGTATTAGGTTTAGCACAATGCTTGGCATGCAACACATTTGACCATTACTGTTCTCATCCATGTACTTCAACGGTCAACATGTGTTGAGCACTTAGCTGGGTGTCAAACATTGTGCTACACTAAGTTTCTAACGTTATCTCATTTAACCCTTTTAATTCTGAGACAGATACTATTATTCTAATTTTACAGAAAAAGAAATGCAGACAGATGTTAACCAGCTAGTTAAGGTGCAGTACTGGAGGGCAAACCAGCTCTGTTTGATCTGGCACAATCTTCACACAATGATGTGGAATTAAGGAGTTATCTTCTGTATGTTACTAGGCAGAGGGCAAATATTTATGTACCACCTACGTTAGAATTTTTATTTTTCACCAACAAGCCGTGAACTACCCTTTTGTCTGCCTATTCCATTTCTTGCATCATTCTCTAAAGTTAACAGTTTCTGACTAGTTATTCCTCTCAGGACAGACTGAAAAGTGTATCTTCAGAGGCTATCATGTAAAGTGCTGCTTTCTGGATGGTTCTCTCATTAGACTGCTTCTGTTCTTTCTCCTACATCTCACAACTGTATCTCCTCAACCTAAATTACTCCACCCTTCTTTCTTATGTAATATTATCACTTTAGCTTCTTCCATGAATTCCTACACTCTATAGCTCTCAGTCTCAGTAGAATACACTGTCAGATCATGATCAACATTCTCCTTCTATATCTAAGTTGGAAACATGCCAACTGTTACTTAGGATAAATGTCAGTAAAAATCATAGTCCTAACACTTCAATAGCACCACATTACAAAATAATAAAAGAAATCCTACACATTATTAAGTAACACAAACAATTTGAATTAAGTAGTAGTTAACGTTCTCAGAAGGGCACCATATATGTTTTGCACTTTTTACCATATTTTTCCCATTGTGTTGAATAATGACCGTCTTGGTTTTAGGACTTCTAATGACTGAATGATACCGAATTCTTGAAATGCTGTTATATTTCATTCCTCTGAAAAGGAAAACAAAGTTGTTCTGTAAATCACTAAAAATGCTCTCTACTGTGCCCTGAAATATAGACAGCATTACTGTTATGTAAATATTCATTAGAAATTAATCTAAATTATAACACCTATGCCTACTCTTCACTAGAATAATCATATTTTAAAGTTAATCATTCTGGAAGTATGTTTAAAAAATGAAGAAAATCTAAGAAAACCTTTGCAAATAAAATGGTGACAGAAAATAAAAAGAACTGCCAAAGTCATGACATCCATAAACAATCTGATTAAAATCAAAGTTTTTAAAGATGAAGTTTCACAGCTGGAAACTGAGGAAATACAGTATGTTGGTTAGATTTTTGAATTTAAGTGCCCTAGATTTCTCAGTATTAAACTTACAACTATGAAGCAAATTGATATATAGGAGATACAGAAGTTGGAGTAGAAAGTAAGAAAGAAGAAAAAGAAAGAACTACTCTTAATTGGTAGTAAACAGTATAGCTCAATCTTGACTGGGTTCCTACGATCTCACTCACATAACAGGCTCTTTGGTATTACTATGGAGCTTAGGTGGATACTCCTGAGTCTCCATACTTCCAGGACGTGCTTCCAGTTCTATTGGGATAACTTCAATCTCACAATCTGTAACTTCTATTTTCCTCTTTTTGGAAAACATATTTTTCATAATATTCTCTTCTTTTCCATTTTCATCAATAGCATCAGGTTTCTCAGTGTTAGATCTGCTTAGTAATCTTCCTAAAAGAAAAAAGTAAAAGAGCTAAATATGATAAAAGGTAATATAATTACTAAGCAACAAAAGGGCATCTCTTCTGCTCTATTAGAACCGCGTATGGTGTACCTCATTTCTATAATGAAGATAAACATTAATTCATCCCAGGATACTACTGTGAGAAACAATAAAAATAAAAGACCAAGAAGAGATTTCATCTTCCAGTACATGAAAAAAACATAGGAACAAGTATTTGTCTGTTGTGAAATAACACAGAAGACAAAAGATTGAGCTACAATAATATAAAACAAAAATACAGATCAGAAAGCACTCCAGGAAATTAGAGAGGTGAACTCTAGTCTTACAATTATAGCCTCTGTATCTAGTTATGAATGCTTTATCATTTAAAAACTTTATTTATAAAGTGATGTATTTAAATCTGTGGTGATATGTGCCTGTTCTCACCTTAAGCCTTAATGTAATCAAAAGGTTAGTCTGAAGTTTATGCATTTTCTTTCAAGGAACTTAAAATTACAGTTAACAAGTCAAAATTAACAGCTAGATTAGAGAGATACCCTTAGGTGCATTTTCTAGCAATGTAGGTAAAGTCAGTAATACTTCCTGGACACCATCTGGCACTTTATGGTAAGCTAACTTTTATCAAAGAGTTACTCTGAGAAATATGAGAGACAAATGTCCAGGCAAGTTGTGCAGTATGTGTGTCTGTAAGTGGGATGTGCCAGGGATCCAGCTGTGACTGTTCTGAACTCAGGATTCTTGCCCTCACTGAAGTGAACCTGGAATTCCAGATGAGGAGGACTGCTCTGGTCCCTGCTGCCTGGGGTCCCACATTTCCTTCAGACTGCCTTGAGAGCCACATTTCACCAACCTTTCTCACTTCATGGTACACACAGAAAGTGAGGACTTTTGCCTGACACTCTGGGGTAAAAGGAAGAGACTACTAGAGATGGACGTGTCTGGCCTGTGGGCTATGACCTGAAAGAATCAGTAATTGCACGACCGTAACACACCGGGGGGAGGCTTTGCTCAGAACATGGGCAACTCTCTACAGAATCCCTGAAATGGAGTGAACTGCCTTGACTGAATCATCACTTAAAGGTATTCATTATAACATTAACTTGTTAAGTTCTAATAGCTCAAGATGTTGATGAAGACAGTCTTTGACCAATTATCTTTATCTTAGTAAATCAGTCATTTTTCTATTTAAAAGTTTTCTTATTTTATCCCGAAGCATCTGCAGCCACAGAGACCAAAAAACAAATCTCATGCAGTAACCCAAGTTTTATCCTTTAGCGTTTCTTTTCTGGAACACCTGGCACCTCCTAACGCATGTCACCCCTTCAGTGCTCAATTTCCCAGTCACTTCTCATCTGATGCTCCTCTTATATTGTCGCTCTTGTCCTTGCTATAAGATCTCAGTGGCCCTGACTAGTAAAATGGAGATTCAGAAATATAGATCTTACCACAGCGTAATGTGAAAGTAAACCTTTGCTTTACCTGAATAAATGCAAACAAACGTCCCTCTGTCAATGTCATCTAGACAGCGCACTCCCCATCCCTTCTTCTCAGTTTTGAACACTTGTAGCCTTACTTGAGGTCCATGCTGGACAACTCGGTTTTGACATATTCGCCGATCACACTTGCATAATAGGCTGCATTCATAAATGCTTGTCAATAAAATATACAAGAGAAAAATCAATTAGACATCTTAAATTAAAAGCAAAAGCACTTTCTATTGCTACCTCACTAATAATTACTGAGGGAAAGAGACTAAGTGTGAAGGCTCCCAGGGCTAGACTGCCTAGTTCCCATCACAGCTACAGCACTCACTAGCTGCATGACCATGGATTTAATCTCTTTGTGCTCCAATTTTCCATCTTTAAAATGGGTATTATAGGGTACCACCATATAATATGGATTATATGGCATAGGGTGGTTTTGTGAAGATTAAATGAATTGGGTAAGTCAGACAGAGAAAGACAAATATCATATGATATTGTTTATATGTGGAATCTAAGAAAATGGTATTAATGAACTTGCTTACAAAGTAGAAATAGAGTCAGAGATGTAGAAAACAAGCTTCAGGTTACCAAAGGGGAAAGTTGTGGGGGGGATAACTCGGGAGATGGGGGTTGACATATACTCACTACTATACATAAAATAGACAACTAATAAGGACGTACTGTACAGCATGGAACTCTACTCAATACTCTATAATGACCTATATGGGAATAGTCTAAAAACAAGTGGATAGATGCATAACTGAATCACACTGCCGCATAGCCACAACTAACACAACATGGAAATCAACTACATTTCAATAAAATTTAATTTTAAAAAAAGATTAAATAAGTCAGTATTTACAAGGTGCTTGAGACAATGCCTGGCACAGAATAAGGGCTCAGTTCAGTTCTGTTCAGTCGCTCAGTCGTGTCCAACTCTTTGCGACCCCATGAACCGCAACATGCCAGGCCTCCCTTGTCCATCACCAACCTCCGGAGTCTACCCAAACTCATGTCCACTGAATTGGTGATGCCATCCAACCATCTCACCCCTCTGTCGTCCCCTTCTCCTCCTGCCCTCAATCTTTCCCAGCATCAGGGTCTTTTCAAATGAGTCAGCTCTTCACATCAGGTGGCTAAAGTGTTGGAGTTTCAGCTTCAGCATCAGCCCTTCCAATGAACACCCAGGACTGATCTTTAGGATGGACTGGTTGGATCTCCTTGCAGTCCATGGGACTCTCAAGAGTCTTCTCCAACACCACAGTTCAAAAACATCAATTCTTTGGCACTCAGCTTTCTTTACAGTCCAACTCTCACATCCATACATGACCACTGGAAAAACCATAGCCTCGACTAGACGGATCTTTGTTGGCAAAGTTATGTCTCTGCTTTTTAACATGCTGTTTAGGTTGGTCATAACTTTCCTTCCAAGGAGTAAGCATCTTTTAATTTCATGGCTGCAATCACCATCTGCAGTGATTTTGGAGCCCAGAAAAATAGTCAGCCACTGTTTCCCCATCTATTTGCCATGAAATGATGGGACCAGATGCCATGATCTCAGTTTTCTGAATGTTGAGTTTTAAGCCAACTTTTTCACTCTTCTCTTTCACTTTCATCAAGAGGCTCTTTAGTTCCTCTTCACTTTCTGCCATAATGTGGTATCTGCATATCTGAGGTTATTGATATTTCTCCCAGCAATCTTGATTCTAGCTTGTGCTTCCCCCAGCCCAGCGTTTCTCATGATGTACTCTGCATATAAGTTAAATAAGCAGGGTGACAATATACACCCTTGACATACTCTTTTTCCTATTTGGAACCAGTTTGTTGTTCCATGTCCAGTTCTAACTGTTGCTTCCTGACCTGCATACAGATTTCTTAAGAGGCAGGTCAGGTGGTCTGGTATTCCCATCTCTTTCAGAATTTTCCAGAGTTTATCGTGATCTACACAGTCAAAGGCTTTGGCATAGTCAATAAAGCAGAAATAGATGTTTTTCTGGAACTCTCTTGCTTTTTTGATGATCCAACGGATGTTGGCAATTTGATCTCTGGTTCCTCTGCCTTTTCTAAAACCAGCTTGAACATCTGTAAGTTCATGGTTCATGTATTGCTGAAGCCTGGCTTGGAGAATTTTGAGCATTACTTTACTAGCGTGTGAGATGAGTGCAATTGTGTGGTAGTTTGAGCATTCTTTGGCATTGCCTTTAAGCATTAACAACATTTATAAGACTAAATAGGCCACAATGATAAAGTACCCTCCTTCAAAGATATAAACACCCTGCAACAAATCCACAGTGTATCTTACCCAGTAGGTATCTGTCTCTCTAGTCTTTTATATTTATATCCAGTGGTTATTTTATTACTTGACAAGGGGCAAGTCTTGGAATTCCTTGCTGTCAGTTGAAGACACGCACATTTTGTTCTAAAAGGAAGACAATGGACGGAGAAGTCAGAATAAAAAAGCATCAACAGATTCTCTTGACAAAAGTATAAAGAATATAATTGTTTTTAAAACAGTTGTTTGGCTCATGGACTGTTAAGATTTCTTCCCTAAATAAAATAGGCCTCTTTGAAAGACAACATTTACCAAAAGTTTATAAATAATTATAAACTGCCCTGTACCTTGCTTGCTCATGAAATAGTTAACTATATGAGTTTTAACATTTCAAAATGAACTCCTTTCATTTCCTATTCAGCAGAAGCTTCATTGTGACAATTCTTCCAGGTTTGCTCTCTTACAATGGATAAACTTAAACGTGTCTAGCTCAAAAGAACTTACATAATTTTGTATATGTTTTATATTATCTCTCTCTCCAATGACATAAAAATAGATTGAGGAGACTGATGCCATGTATCTGGCTACTACAATCTGTTTTTCATAGCACTGCTAAGCAGTAAACATGAAAAGCTAAAAACAAATTTCCTCTCTAACTACTGAGATGACTATCTATCATGACAGGGACTTAACACTCAATAGGAGTAAGGAACCTGGGTATCTCAGCTATAAACCAGATATGTGACTACTGGTTAAAAATCTCTTGAATCTCATCTCCTGTGTTAAATGGCAAGTGACTTTAAGATCGTTTCCTCTATGATTCACTTCAGTATTTTTCTGTACATATATAATACAAGTCAGAGTGGTAACTACCGTTTGCAACAGAAAAAATAAGCAATAAATTGATTGATTTGGATTCTATTTACAAATGTAGAAATCTATTGTTGCTTTTTCAATATGAGTTTGTTTGCAAAGTTTACAAAGTACAGGCAACACAAACAATAACAAACACTCATTTTGACCACACAGAATCAGCTGTCATCGTTTTGTCTAGTCCTTTCTCTTATGTATATACAGCTGACCCTTGATCAGCATGGGTTTGAACTACACAGGTCCACTTATATGTGGATATTTTTCAATAGTAAATAACACAATACTACATAATCTACAGTTGGATGTGGAATTATGGATGCGGAACTGCTTATGTGGAGGGCCAATTATGTTACATGTTATATTTTTGAGAGCTGGCACCCCTAACTCCTGCATTGTTCAAAGTTCAACTATAATTTACAACATATATACTGTATATATGATCTTCCTTAAAAAAAAAAAGATAAAACTAAGCACTCAAGACGTTTGGTGAGGCATCCTTTATACTTTTACATATATATTTACCTACAAACAATACAATGTATTGTTTTTAAAAATTACCATAGTTATTATCCTACAACTTGTCTTTTCATTCAATATAATGCTTTTCAGATCCACCTTTTTAACTTTTCCACAGCACTGAGAATCACAATTAAACTGCTTCTAGTTTTCAATACAACAATGCTGCAACATCCTTATTCTTCTGTCCCTGTCTAAGCATCTCTTGGTTAGCAGCTTTCATATTTTTGACTACGACTCACAGCAAGAAATGTCTTACATTTCTAAGAAAAGATCCTACAGAGGCATGCATATTTATATGCGTGTGTATATGTAAAGTAAGAAACAGCAGTTGAACATAAGTATCTTATCATTGTACTTTCTGTACACATGGTACTTTCTGTCCAATTTAAAAGATTCTAGTTACAACCCGTTAAGTGATTTTACACCCTACTAGACTTAGAGCTTGGAAAACAATGCTCTAGGTATAAAAATACTATTGTTGAAAAGTAGGAATGCATATCTTCAACTGCTGTGTAATTGTTTGAACACCCTCTTAACACGCCCACCCCCCACCAAATAACTGTCTGGCTTGGTACAGAATTCCAGTTTTATATTTATTTTCCTTCAGCATTTTAAGCTAATATGCCTTTTTGTCTTCTCTTATTTTTGATGGAAACTGCCTTGTCAATATATGTTTTCTCTTTTCCACCTGCTAGCATATTTACTCTTTGCCCTAGACACTTGTGAAGTTGCATCATGATACATTTAGACGTACCATTATCTTAGTTTCCCTTCCTAGTACACAGTAGGCTTTTTCACTCTGAGGACTCCTGTCTTTCTTCAGTTCTGGAAAATTCTCAGCTATTATCTCTTTGAATGATGCTCTCTTCTCAGAGGTATGTTAGAATTTCTCATTGATCTTTCATATTTTTCAACCTGCAAATTTTTTTTCCTCGTATCTTTATCTCTTTGCATTCTGGGAGAACCCTTTAGTTTTGCTTTGCTGTTCACTGATTGTTTCTCCAGCTATACCAATGCTACCATTTAGTCCATCTATTTAGTTTTTTTTTTTAACGTGTTTATTTATTTATTTGTCTGCACTGAGTCTTAGTTACAGCACTTGGGATCTTTAGTTGTGGTCTTTAGTTGCATGCATGTGAACTCTTAGTTGAGGCATGTGGGATCTAGTTCCCTGACCAGGGACTGAACCTAGGCCCCCCTGCATTGGGAGTGTGGAGTCCTAACCACTGGACCACCAGGGAAGTCCCTCTATTTAGTTTTTTATTTCCATAACCATATGCTTTATTTCTCATATTTCCAAATGGCTCTTTTACTTATATAGTATAGTTAAAAATAATCTCCTTCTCATTTCATGGATATTAATAATTTATCTCTTTGGACATTTTGAACATACCTATTTTAAAGTCTCCTCCAGTCACGTTCTCCATTTATCTCTGATTCCCCAGGTGTGAACTCTGCCATGTGCTGGAACTTACGCTGCCTTCACGGCCCTAACGCCTCTGTGTGCTCTGAGTGTGCAGGACTAAGCCTCGGCAGAGGTTACTGCTGGGTGCTCCTCTACACTGGCTGCTCTGGCTCCGACCCGCGGGCTTCACAGCTCTAAGCCTGGTTGTTAGCAACGCAACGCTGCGATTGCAGGCCCTGTGACTTAGCAGCCAACCTCCTAGCCTCGGGGAGGCCCCGTCTCTGGCCCCTCCCCTGAGAGCTCGGGGCCCACTCTCCACCCAGCACGGGACACGTTCAACTCCCAGCACCGTCAGGGTTAGGATCCCTGGCCACAGTGCTCGTGTCCGATTCCAGATCCCCGCGAGCCTCAGCTTCTGCTTCTCTTGCGACTTCTCTTGTAATCTGTGACCAAGAAACGAACGCATGTATGCTGGTGGTACACATTACATGGGGATTCGTTTCTACGGTCTAAGGCAAAAATCACACACCATCAAAATTAGTTTTTAAAGAAACCTTGTTAAACTAACCATAAAGTACAGTAAACACTGTCTAACCCAACAGTTAGTTTTTTCCTCTAGCACTGAAGGAGATTGAGCTTGGCCAGATGTAGACAGGTTAGAGGCAATGGTTAAAAACAACAATTTATATTTAAACAGAATAAAACCTGGCACAGTGAAAGGTTTCCTCTATAACAAAACCTAAAGGAACTGGGCCAAACTAGATTTATGTATCTCATCTCACACTCCTAACTGACAGGATGGTTAAAAACTACTATCTATACATTTTAAATTAATTCTCTTTATCTCTCTCATGCATTTTCTTTTTCCTAGTATAGGCAGCTAAGTTTGCATTAAGTTAAATGTACATATGCGACTCTGCTCTACCAATGCAAACCTACAAATACCAGTAAATTATACACCTTTAAAACAAAATGGTTTTCAAAGTCTTAATATATTAGAACATGTTTTCATTTTTTTATGGAATGTCAATTTTGGGATCAGGAGGGGCACCATTAACTTTCAAAAAAAGGAGCAAGGAAAAGATATGTGAAAGTAAAACATGACATATAACAGTTAAGAGCACAGGAGAAGGAAATGGCAACCCACTCCAGGAATCTTGCCTACAGAATCCTGTGGCCAGAGGAGCCTGGTGGGCTGCTGTCCATAGGGTCGCATAGACTCGGACACGACTGAAGCGATAACATGCATGCATTGGAGAAGGAAGTGGCAACCCACTCCAGTATTCTTGCCTGGAGAATCCCAGGGATGGAGGAGCCTGGTGGGCTGCCGTTTACAGAGTCGCACAGAATCGGACACGACTAAAGCGACTTAGCAGCAGCATAGGTTCAAATCCTGGTGCTTAAATTTGTTGACCTTACACCTGGTTTCGCAACTTCCTCATTCGTAACATGGAAATAATATTAACTACCCCATAAGACTTTGTGAGAACTAGACAAGAAAATAGACGGAAAGCACTTGTCACAGTGTTTGGCACAGTTACATGGCAATAGCTCTAATTGTTGCTATGAAGAGTTACAGTAACAGATTAAGGGAAAAACTTATCATTGCAAGAAATAACTCCCAAATTAATGAAATAACTGGTGAAGAGTTTCCTTCCTATTGCTAAAGAGAGAGTGCATCTTTCTATTTTCAATTCTTGATGAACTGGTTTTAGATAAGACAGACAGACAAACTGATACACAGCAGGATTTCTTGACAAGTACCCCTACATTCAGAAGATTTTTTTGAAATGCCATGTTCTTCTACTCACATGTCTACGCAGCCCTCAGAACAGTCACATGAATCAGTAAACATGTTGGAAAAGCTGTTTAGATAACATGCTCGTGGCCACATAGTCTTTCTGTACTTAAACTGTGGAAGTTCTCTATTGTCAACTTCATTACAGAAAGAAATGGGCACCGATTCCACTCCATTGCTAATATCCACATCAGAAACAATTTCTTCTTTCTTTGGGTAATTCCGAGTCAACTGAACATAGGTATTGAAAGAAAAGTTATCTGTAAATAGAAAGTTACACTCTGTCTCAAGCAGGTAACGAAAAACTTCCTCCATGTTTCGTAGACTCCTTCCACAAGGGGTTTTATAACTCACGTGGAGTGCTGAAGAATGAGAGTTTGTCTTCGCGTGTCGTCTTTGGAAATGGCATTTGATTGGTAGCTGCAGAGGGTTTTCCCCCTTGAAGGTAAGTGGCATTTTCATCAGACAGGCGCCAGAGCACTCATGCTTTTGGTAAGATAAATTTAAAGAAGATTCTTTTTCTCTTAAGTCTGCAACTTTATTTTCCATAGGGGGAATTTCCTGGTTTTCTGTAGATCTGTTTAAAATTAATTATTTATTAGAATCTCAAATTTATAGCACAATTCCCCATATTAAAAAAAAAACCCACTAAGATGATATTTAATTCCTGTATTAGTTTCTTCTCAGACAACATGAAAATAAGCCAGACTCTAAAATAAAACATCTATGTTCTGTGGTTATATAAAGTTATGTAAGTGTTTTTTTAAATCTCGTTCTGAGCACCAAATATGTGGTGTTTTTTCCCAGCATGACTTCTTCAATGAGTGTCCAATAATTCAGTTCAATTCTGGCATTATCTACCTGGAGTCAGCATCAGATTCCACAAATTGGTTCAGTCCCATAAAACTGCCCCCAATCCAGACGTGAAATGCAATTTTCAGGTCACCCACACTTCTGACCAATCTATGAGTTCCCACAACCTCCTCCTCTTTGTTAATGGGCTGGAAAGACTCACAGAATTCAGGAAAGCACTTTAACTACTATTATCAGTTTATAATAAAAGATGCACTCAGGAACAGCCAAATGGGAGAGAGGCATGGGGCAAGGTAGGTAAGAAGGGGCATGGAGTTTCCATATGCTATCTCCAAATGCACCCCCCTCCCAGCACCTCAAAGTGTCTGCCAACCAGGAAGCTCCAGGAGCCCTGTTGTTTTTTATAGTGGTTTGACTGCTTAAGCATGAAGGATTAAGTCACTGGCGACTGGTGATTATCTCCACCTGCAGCCTTTCTCCCCTCCCTGGAGGCTTGGAGGTAGGGCTGCAAGGGCATCAAAGGTTTCTTGAATGCCTGCTATGTGCCAGGTGCTATGAAAACAAAGATGAGAGCTCCATAATCTCAAGGAACTTACATTTGAGGCAGAGAATTAAGTATTTATAATAACGTATAAATGATATTATGAATAATGCCATGTTATATAATGTTATGGAAAGACATCTAATCTTTTATTTTTCTGATTTTAAGGGTTCTAATTTTATAATTAATCTTTCTAGGTTTGAGAATTCAGTTTCATCTGGAGTTTATATTGATGTAACATGAATATCTAACTTAAAATCTCCAGATGATATCCAATTGTTCTAGAGTCTTTTACTGAATACTGTAAAGAGTCCTTTCACCTGACTTTGACTTACTAGCTTAATATCTCAAGTTCTTATAAATACACAAAAATGTTTTCTTATTTTCTAGACTCATTCTGCCTTTAGATTGGAATCTTTTTTTTTCTTTTGGCCATGCTGTATGGCATGTAGGATCTCAGTTCCCTGATCAGGGAAAGAATCCATGTCCCCTGCACTGGGAGTATGGAGTCTTAGTCACTGGACGATCAGGGAATTCCCTAAATAGCAAATTTTTGAATGAAAAACATGTATTTTCATTTTCTAGTTGCTGGAACCATTCTGAAGCCTAGTTTAGATATTGTGATTTCCAGGACTGGAGCTATGAACAGCAGCACAGTGGCCCTAACGCTATCATCTTAGCTTGAAACTCTTAACATTTCCTAAAAAACATTACAACATATGGATAATCCAGAAAATGTTTCTATAGTGTTAATTAAAATCATTAGTTTTCTGGTAATGGTTTCTTTTTTAAGAACACTACTCATCATTCTCTTCTTTTTCTCATCCATTTGCCCTTTTATTCTACATTTTGGGTAATCTTATAGATTCCAGACTATACCATTGAGTTCCTTTAATAGGCAACTTTCACAATGAATACTTCCTTAAAAGAAAGTTTGGGGTAAAACTGATTACTGTACTACTATTTACATTAGGCAATATTTGGAACTATCTATCCATCCTTAAAGGGATGGGTAAATAAAATGTATCTTCACATTATGGAAATCCAAACAACAGTTAAAGGGAATGAAAAAGATCTATAACACAGCAAGCAACATGATTAGATCTCAAAACTAATGCTGAGTAAAGTAAGAAGGTACATATATGAATATTTATGTAAAATTTAAAAACTATAAGTAATAACACTATATATTATTTATGGCTATATAAATATTAAAAAAAAATGAACTAGAGAAATAACTGATGACAGTGACTGCTCTTCGAAAGGCAGAGAGGAGAACAGAACTTTGTCAGGGTGAGAAGTTAGGTATGGCTCAAAGAGACTACAGTGTTTTGTTTTCTTTTAAAAAAAAGACATTGGAAGCACATACAATGAAATGTTAATAGCTATTAGTTCTGGCTGGTGTTAGTATAGTTTCTGCTATATTCTTTTATATGTTTTCAATCTTTAAAATTCTCAAAAAGATAGTAAAAAATATTGAATAAGAAGGCAGCTAAAATGCCCACTCTCACTATTCAACATAGTTTTGGAAGTGTTGGCCACAGCAATCAGAGCAGAAAAAGAAATAAAAGGAATCCAGATAGGAAAAGAAGTAAAACTCTGTTTGCAGATGACATGATCCTCTACACAGAAAACCCTTTAAGACTCTACCAGAAAATTCTAGAGCTAATCAATGAATACAGTAATGTTGCAGGATATAAAATTAACATAAAGAAATCCCTTGCATTCCTATACACTAACAATGAGAAAACAGAAAGAGAAATTAAGGAAACAATACCAGTCACCATTGCAACAAAAAGAGAATGCAGCTAAAAGATCAATGCAAATCTATCACATCCATGAACTACAATGCAATAGCACCTAATACATTAAAAACGAGAGCAGAAACAACCAAAAAAAAGAGGTAAGGTTATGTTTTCCCTTATATAACTTCAATCTATTTTAGTAGTTTTTGAATAATACTGGGAGTACATTCCATAGTAAAAATATAGTCTATAATGCATTTTTTGCTTTGTTCTTCCATTTTGCTTTGTTTTTCCATTTAACTTCAATCTTCTTAGCCTAGTCCACTTTAATAAGTTATTTATTTATTTAGGTATTCAGTATTTCCTTCTTTTTTTTTAAAGACTGTGCCTGGAATTGCTCTTTCCTTATTATTAAGTGCCAAGTGCCTTTCTACCACTTTTTCTTATAAAGCATTATAGTATATTCTGAGCTATGAGCACTACTATTTGTCTACCTGGGACATATATACCTTTGGCTTCTTTCAGTACTTACTGAAATAAATTCTCTTAAGCTCTCATAGCTTTGTTCTTTGTTCTGTTCTAGACTAATTTACTCTTGAGTGATTTACATAGTTACAGTGTGGCTCAGAGGGTAAAGCATCTGTCTGCAATGCAGGAGACCTCGGTTTGATTCCTGGGTTGGGAAGATCCCCTGGAGAAGGAAATGGCAACCCACTCCAGTACTCTTGCCTGGAAAATTCCATGGATGGAGGAGCCTGGTAGGCTACAGTCCATGAGGTTGCAAAGAGTGGGACACAACTGAGCGATTCCACTAGTGTTGTATAACCAGTAAATTGAATGTTTCATTTCCCTTTTCAACTTGATTTTGAACGTTAAAACAAATAAGTTATGTTTCAAGCTGGGTTCTGTGGCATTCTTTTCTACAAAATGTCATCAATTTATTTCCCCTATTTTGGGGGAAGGGGAATATGAAATATTGAAGATTCACGAAGTTCTTTGTTATGAAGGGATTAATTCAGCATATATTCAAGAGAAAAAATTGTATCTGGGGTATCCTTAGTTCTAAAGTTTATTGAAAGATTTTATTACTTACAGATCTAACAAATAACCTATATAGAGAATTATGAACCTACATAAAATACACAACTTTTAAAACTTTTTGGAAAGGGTAGGGGAAATGGATAGTTAGTTTGGGATGGACAGGTATACACTGCTATATTTAAAATGGATAACCACGGAGAAGGCAATGGCACCCCACTCCAGTACTCTTGCCTGGAAAATCCCATGGATGGAAGAGCTTGGTAGGCTGCAGTCCATGGGGTTGCTAAGAGTCGGACACGACTGAGCAACTTCCCTTCCACTTTTCACTTTCATGCATTGGAGAAGGAAATGGCAACCCACTCCAGTGCTCTTGCCTGGAGAATTCCAGGGAGAGAGGAGCCTGGTGGGCTGCCATCTATGGGATTGCACAGAGTTGGACATGACTGAAGTGACTTAGCAGCAGCAGCATTAAAATTTGTGGGAGGACTCTTGGCCTAAAAATTAATTATCTTAAATATAAGGTGAAGTTTCTCCACATCTGACTGGTGCAGGCAGTTATTTCACTCATGAATTCATCAATAACTTGAGTATCTGAAAATACTTTACTAGTTAGAATTAATTCCCTTTTAGAGAGAAATCAAATTTGTGTTAAAGAATCACTATTCCATGGGACAAGCAATAGAGAGACATTAGTTATATTGTCTTATATTAGGAAGTCTAATTTCAAAGTAAAATAATGTCTGATAACATAAATTCCTATAAATGTATAAATTCCTAGTGTTCTGATTCTTTACACTCCAGTAACAAATAGCATGAGGTAGAAAATAATTAGATCTTTGTATAATACCATATTTAAATCTTACTAGTAGAATTTGTTTGTATCTTTTTCACTTGTGTCTCTCGTCACTTATTCTTAACTTTTAAAATTCTTGGTCGAAATGGAACATAATGTCTTATTTGTCTGATTTCATCTTAGTGGGAATAAAGAATTATGTCACTTGATCTATTTATTTGATAAAAAAAAAAATAAAATAAAATGGATAACCAACAAGGACCTATTGTAGAGCACAGGGAACTCTGCTCAATGTTATGTAGAAGTCTGGATGGGAGGGAGTTTGGGGCAGAATGGATACATGTGTATGTATGGCTGAGAACCTTTGCCATCCACCTAAAACTATCACAGCATTGTTAATCGGCTATACTTCAATACAAAATAAAGAAGATTAAAAAAAAAGTTTTCATGGGAAAGAATCCTTTTTTAATATATTTTATCTACTCTTATGTCAAATGATTAGCAACAGTAAATCGCTTTCTGGGAGCAAAAGCACTAACAACATAAATAAATTTAACTTCTATACATACAGAGAGGTGCAGTCTTTTGGAAAGAAGTCTTCATATGACGTTGAGGGCAATGAACTTGATTTGTTTTCTTCTGCATTCTGGGTCACAGATGTATGATCTACATGAAAAAATTACAAACAAGTTAAAAATGAGTCACTGTAATATCTAAATAATAACTTTATTGACTAAAGATATAAGGCACCCTTAAATATGAAAACATTGTTTCAAAATTGAGGCAAAAATTAGGTATCAACATTTTCAAGAATATTAAGAAAATAAGACAGGATAAAATAAGACATAGAAGAAATTTCTACTGCAGAAATTCTAATTTGGCCCAAACTTTATCTGTATTTTAATCATCCTTTAAAGCAAACATCAAGTATCCCTATTTCTGCTTGTATTTTACAGAAAAAATAGTGTAACTCTCAGAGACTCTATTAAGGTCACAAAATGGGAAGCCTTTACGTTTGTTATTCTATTACTTTCTGTTTTTGCAGAGGAGGGAAAAGTATTTGGGTTGCTCTTTTTGTCTTTTCATTTGTTCATTCATAGTTCTCTTAGTTTCCCCTATATCTTTCTGCACTTAATTTCATCTTGAGCCAGGATGTCCCTGGTTCATTCTTGTCTCTGTATTTTTCAACTTCACCTATTCTTACTCTCTAACATGACTTCACTATACAAATAAGCTATGCAGTTAATGAAAAAAAAGTTATATATTTCTTGCTCTTATTTTGAAAAAAAAAAAGTGAATATGCAGAATAGTCTATGTTTGTTTTTTAAAAAATTGTTTTTAATCATGCTTTTTCCTATGCAGTAGTGGACCTTAATAAAAAAGTGATTCTCTTCCTACCTTATTATTAACTTGCATTGGTCCTTTAGTGTAGACCAGTCTTATTAAACAGAAAAAAAAAAAAAGTTTAAGAAAATAAAAGAGTAGTTTAAGTTATAATCCAGGGTCATGTGTGTGGATGCATGCGTCGCTTCAGTCATGTCCAGCTTTTTGTGACCTTAGGCCACCAGGCTCCTCTGTCCATGGGATTCTCCAGGCAACAGTACTGGAGATGAATACAAGATGCTTGCCATGCCATACTCCAGGGGACCTTCCTGACCCAGGGACTGAACCTGCATCTCATGTTTCCTGCATTGGGAAGCAGGTTCTTTACCACTAGTGCCACATGGGAAGCCCTGATCCAACGTCATCCTTGGCTAATTGGAAAGCAAATATCCCTCTTTAGTTATTGAGGTAAAGAAAGAAGATTTAAAATCTGATAGATGAAGAGAGCTACAATAACTGATTAATAAATAAGTTTCGGTCAGTGGTTAAGACTCTGTGCTCCCAATGCAGTAGGGGGCAAAATTTCAATCCCTATAACCCAATGCCACATGGCACAGCCTTTAAAAAAAAAAAGTAAGTAAGTTTTTCAAATTAAGAATTTCTGATTTTTCCCAGCAAATTTCTTTGAATGAGCCATATAACGCCATACAAAAAATACAAATATAACAAAGGTATATAAGCATAGTTAGAGACAAGATTTACTAAAAAAATGGAGATTTTTATTAACCATTAGATAAGAGAAGAAAGGAGAAATAATACTTTCTTTCAAGAAAACAGTATCCAATTCTTTGTATGGGGATACAGCAAATATTTACAGAACTATACACAAGCAAAGAAAAATTAAACGTAAATTAGTGGTTTGGGCAATTAAGGCTGGATCTGGGATGGCTTGTTTAGACCTCAACACCAAGTCCTTTTGTTTCTCCCAGTCTCAGTATTCCTTTTAAAATAAATACTAATATGAAACTTTATTACTATGAAGTGTTTAATCCCTACATCTGCTAGCAGTGTCACTACATAATTCCCTGATACTTTAAAAACATGTGCTAGCTCTACCACTAGCAAACATACTTCTATTTTGATAAATTTATTACACTTCAGATGAACTATATAAAAATATGAGACTAGAATACTCTGCATTTCTACCAATGAAATCATTTTAAAAGAACCAAGACAAAAAACCCAACTTACTTTTTTTTTACTGGGAAAGATTATTTAGAAAGAAAAAAGCTGTTTAGAATTATTTCTTCTTACCACCTCTTGCACTTACAGGCTTCTCTCTTAGAAAACTAATGTAACCCCTTAAGGGTATGCTGATTCTAAGTGCTACTGTAGGCTACTGGGAGAAAGACTGTTTTCTTGAAAGAATGTACTCTCTGCTAAAACTTTACATTAGCGACTGAAAGTGAAAACATTTCTGAATAACAAAATATTTCTTTAAAGTGATGATGTTAAGCCATATTTTCAGAGATTTAAAACTCTAAGGCTCCAAATTATGACAGTTAAAATGATTACAATCTGTTAAAAATATTTAACAGTATCAATTAAAATTTAGAAAATGTACTTTCTCAACACTTTAGCAAATTGGTGATAGTCTAAGATTTACAGGATAGTGATTCTGATAACTTTTTAATTAAAAAGTTTTCTAACTGAAGGATAATTGATCGACAGTGTTGTGTTATACAGCAATGTGATTCAGTTATACACACACACACATATATGTTCTTCTTCATATTCTTTTCCATTATGGACTATTATAGCATATTGAATATAGTTCCCTATACTATACAGTAGGACCTTGTTGTTTACCTAAAACAACTTTTCAATTTTTCTTTTTCTAATCCTAGTACATTATCTTTGTTCAATTCCTTTAAAGCTGATACATTGATGTTCTAATAATAATATAGAAATGAAAAAAGTTTCCATCAATTTATCTCTACCAAAATATATCTTTCTAGCATTGTTCTTTACACAAAGCAGGTTTAGAGTGGTTTGGAGTCTTGGAATTCTGTTTGGGCTTCTTATAGGAGAAGCTGTTTTGAAGAAGAGATACATTTGTTCTTCCTGAGAGGTTTAACAGGGTGTGCATTTCCTATCTATGGATGGGCAGGACTTTTCATTGACTAGGAACACTGATTTCCATAACTTACCTATATGGATCTTGCAGTTTTATTTTAAACTGTCTTTGGTTAAGGCAACATAATTAAGGCTGGCTTGCTTCAAAGAAAGAAAACAGCAGAGAATATCCTAGATTAGGATTTGAAATGTACATACCCTTTATCAATGTTGAATTGTGGTTTATAGTTGCATCTTTTACTAGAATCATTGCTTGGATGTATTCTGTTAAGGAAGGGAGAAAAGAATGAAAACAATCATCAGCAGCAGCACCTTTATTCAAGATGTCAGCTACTGTGCTATGCAATTCACTGATACATACTTTATCTCATTCAATCTTCGTAACTCCTCTGAGAGGTTTTTATGAGTATCTACTTTAAAGACAAAGAAATTGAAGCTTAGAGGTTAAGCTGTTCACTTCAGGTCAATCAGATAGAAGAGGTAGAACTGAATTCAAACCTAGATATATCAGATTCATGAAGGAATGAAAATATTAAAATGAAAGACAGTATTAATTTTGTAGACAAACACACAACTGATTAATGTCATAGAATATCCAAAAAGAATTAAGAATATCCTGGGGAAAGCAAAGAATAGGAGGGGGGAAATTTTGCTTGAAAATCGTATATTCTGATGGAATGAAGAAGTTTGCATATAAAAGTCTATATTCTATAGCTACCTGGGCTGAAGACAAATAAACAGAAAAAATAAAAACCTGGATTAAAAAAAATAATAAAAATAAAAAATAAAAACCTGGATGACTGAACTGACTGCCAATGTAAAACCCAAGGTTTGCCTTCTGAAGACTACTAAGGTAAATCCTGTTTAAAGCAGGCAAAACATATCCATGTATGTCTAAGCTGTCTCTGAAAGACTGGGTGATGGATAATCTGCTATATTTTTCTGTATGTAGAACATTTGGTAAAATGTTCTATAAGGAGCACATACTATTTTTGCAAACACCCCCTCCACCCCCGCATAAAGATAAAATGAGGGAGAGAAAAGTAGCCTGAGATAAAGAGAGATTTATTTATTTATTATTCAAAATAATCATCTTCATCCACTTTTACAAATGTTCATAGTATGATAAAAATGAGTTTTTATAGAAGCAGAGCATATACACACAGAAAGCAAATAGAACTGATGTCAAGTTCTTAGAAAACAAAAGAAAATATTTTGACTTTTAAAACAAATAGCAATACTGGAAATAGAACTAAACTGTATTGCCAGTGGGTAATATTTAGCATTAAATGTGTTGAAAGTTCTTACTGCTTCATACCTTTATTTGTGGCAGACCCATCTTTGATCTTTTTTTTCAGTGACTGCAGCACATTTTGCACTTGTTCAAATATGAAATCCACTTTCCCATCATCTTCCAGCTCCATCCAGAAAGTTTCTGCATCACCTAAAGAAAAAATAAGTGAATAACCTAAGAGCTCAACAGACACAGACTGTAACTTTCCTAAAGCACATGCTATTAAAAATCCACTCTGTTTCTAAATAAAATCAAGATTTAATTGGGTTATTACTTTCTTTCAGGAAAAACATTTTCGTCACTGTTTCTTCTTTTCTCTTTTGGCCACATGATCTTAGTTCCCTGACCAGGGACTAAACCTGGGTCCTTGGCAGTAGAAGTGTGGAGGCCTAACCACTGGAGTACTTGGTCACTGTCTCTTTAGAAAGAATGAAAAACAAAGATAACCTAGGCATCTCCCTTATTTCTGCTAATTAAAAAAAAAAAGTGTTGAAAACTAGTGAAACTATTTCTTGACTGGAAAACAGAAGGAATGATTTCATTCTGGGGTGGAAGCAAGCGTACTTATAGACAACTATACCTTTAAAAATTTTCAAAGACATAACCTCCAATGCGTATGCAAGTGGATGGTTTCAGAATGAAACATCCCAACGACTGTTGAAATAATGAAATGTCTAACACTAATGCTTTTAAAAATATCTTTGCTATCAACTTTTTAATAGTTATGTTGACTGAAGAAAAACGAACAATCGAAAAGCTGCAAATTATGTTTTATTTGGGACCTACTGAGGACTACAGTCTGGGAGAGAGCCTCTGATACAGCTCTGAGAAACAGCTCCCAAGAGGTAAGGGAGGAGTCAGGATAAACAGTTTTTGCTTAGAGGAAAAAATAAAACATGTAATTAAAGATCGAATGATTACTGCCGATCACAAAGAACAGACGTCTCAATTTAATGACGTTAGTGCTTTTTTATGCCTAGGGAGATACAAGAGTCTGGGCTCATTGAAATTATTCTTCAGACCTGCATCTTAACTATCTGCCGTCAGTATCTAGTTTTTCTACCTTCTGAATTCTCCTCAGGGAGTGCCACTGGGGGCAGATGTAGATGTTGGCTTGATGGCAGGCAGCACTCACTATTTTCTGAAATGGCAGGCAACATTTTTTTTGTTCACAGTGACATGAGGCAAAATAATGTTTAAAGCTTTTATAAAGTTATATAGATAAACCAACATTTCAGATGCTCAGCAAACTAACACTGTAATCAAAAATTTCCATCCTTTCACAGTTGAAAACAGAAATATGAGAAATGCCATGAAAATAAACTGACAAAAGTCAAATCTCACACCATGTTTAAAAGTAACAAAAATACCTACAATGTTAAACACAAATTATTTCCAAAATAGATAACATTAATGTATAAAATGCTTAAAATGAATAGGGCCTTAAGCAAAGGAGGCACATATCAATAACTGCACTGCAGACAGGTCACTTGAGAAGCCACTGGGAGGATTAATGAGCAGACAGCACAGTAAGTTCACCCAAAAATACATTTTCCTTCATAAAAATTAAACCCAGAACCTCCAAGAGAGTAACGGTGGGGAATTCTTCAAAGGAGGCTTAGACTTCAAAGTCCCAACTCTCCCTGGGAGCCATCCTACCCAAAGGGGACCTCTGTGATGAGGGCCGCCGCTTTCCAGCAGCCTCAGGAGGAGCACTGCTTCCCGGTAGACTCTCTGGCCTGTTGTGTACGACACAAGACTAAGTCTACTTTTAACTCCCCAAAGCACAGTTCAGACAAAGGTTTCAACACTTGAAAAAAAAAACACACACACCACAATGTGAAAAGGCAAAAGGGATGAGAAATGATGTTTTGGAGAAAGTTAGGGGCTGTGACATGGAGGGCCTTGCGTGCCATGCTAAGCAACCTTATTTTAATATGGAAGGCAATGGGGAGCCACTTAAGGTTTAAGCATCTTATCATTATGTCATTAGTTTGTTTTTAAGAATCTCACTCACGGGGAAGTGAGAAAAGGGAGTCAAGGGAGTCAAGACTGATTTCTATGTTTCTGATTTGGTCAACCATATGTATAATACTGGTATTATTTGCAATAGGGAATAAAGGTAGAGCAACAAGTGAGAAATAAAAGCAGCGTTAGGTAAAGTGGATATGTAGGTTCTAGAGTAAGATCTGGTCCAGATATACAAGTTAATTTTGGAGTCAATAATACAGAAATTCTTGATTGAAGCCACAGAGGAGATGTGATTAGAGAGAATGTGTAGAACAAGAAGGGTTTTCTGTAAAACATCAACATGTAAGTGATGAGAATAAGAAAAAGGAAACATGGAGACTGAGAAGGAATATAGCAGCAGATACTTGAGCTGAAACTCAAATCAGTAAACTAATACTACTGCTACTTGCCTCTAGAAATGAAGAAGATCATCTTACAGCTCCACTGTCTGTCCAAGTTTGCTCCATTATTCAGCTAGATACTAAGATTTATTGCAAGAACATAATCATGAAGCAAGAGGTACGGCACCTTTGCAAAGAAGGAAGACAAGTAAACTACACAGTTATACTATATGTCTTCCAATCTCACATGAGACAGAAAGTCTTTGTAAATAGGCAATGCTCATGAATCACGTTGACCTGAGGTCATTTAGTAGATGAATATTTATGGAGTGCTTACTAAATACACTGATAATGACCTAGGTACAGGTATATGTATGTATTTATATTTCTCCATCCATTCCTTGAAGAGCTTCAGGGCAGTGGTCCAGAGAATCCCTAAGACACCTTTGAGCCTGTTATCAGTAAAGTATAGTCTACGAATTCTCGGCTGGTGGGGCTTCTGGTGGCTCAGATGGTAAAGAATCCACCTGCGCTCGGGATGGGGAATACATGTAAATCCATGGCTAATTCATGTCAATGTATGACAAAAACCACTACAATATTGTAAAGTAATTAGCCTCCAACTAATAAAAATTTTTAAAAAATGAAAAAAAATAAAATAAAATATGATTAAAAAAAAAAAGAATCCACCTGCGATACAGGACACCTGGGTTTGATCCCTGGGTGGGGACGATACCCTGGAGAAAGGGAATGGCAACCCACTCCAGTATTCTTGCCTAGAGAATCCCCATGGATAGAGGAGCCTGGCGGGCTATAGTCCATGGGTCGCAAAGAGTCGGACACGACTAAGCAACTAAGCACAGCGTAGCACAAATCCTTTCAGACAATACACTAGGTCAAACTATTTTAACAGTAATACAAGATATTATTTGCCTTTTTCTTCCCTATATTGACATCAGCTGACAGTTCAAAAGCTCTGGTGAATAAAAGTGCTGGAGCCTTGGTGTGAATCAAGGCAGTTGCACCAAACTACCACTGTATTGTATTGTTTACCACCAATTTCACTTAAGGTCCTTGATAAAGCAACATAAATAATTACCACAGTACAATGGCTCTTTCAAGGAAAAACACTAGCGAGATCGTTTTGAGTTGTAAGATAAACTAGCTTTCTTATTCTACCATGGAAAACCATTTTTACTTAAAAGAAACCCTAATAACAATAATGGTTTTCTGACTGGGTGTTTGGTACACATTTTCTCAAACTTGAAGGACAAAACTAATGGCAGTCATGGCTAATGATAAAATTCAAGCTACCAAATTAAAATTGAAAATTTAGAAAACTTGCATCTGCCATGGTAAATTTGAAAGGTTCTCACTAATTCATCACTTTTTGATGATTGATAGCAATATTAACAAATGTAATTTTAAAATATGGTGATTGTGTCAATATTTGGAAAAATCTGCATAATTCATTGCACCAATGTTTTCCAAGTGGCCAATGCATGTTATAAAATCATACCTGTGTAAGAGACCCATTCAACTGCTACTGCTAAGTCACTTCAGTTGTGTCCGACTCTGTGCGACCCCATCCCTGGGATTCTCCAGGCAAGAACACTGGAGTGGGTTGCCATTTCCTTCTCCAATGCATGAAAGTGAAAAGTGAAAGTGAAGTTGCTCAGTCATGTCAGACTCTTCGTGACCCCATGGACTGCAGCCTACCAGGCTCCTCTATCCATGGGATTTTCCAGGCAAGAGTACTGGAGTGGGGTGCCATTGCCTTCTCCGAGACCCATTCAAAGTGCAAGACAAATCAATGGATTTTAATGTAACAGACTAAAGAAAGCTCACTGATATGAATTCAGATTCCACACTATAATGAACCTTGAAGGAATGATTACTTGTTGAGTTTTGTAGTTGTATAAAAGAAAAATTTCCACGATTATCTGAGAGGCTATTAAAATATTCTTCCTTTTTCCAACTTCTTGTCTGTGTGAAGCTTCATTTTCTTTATACATTTACACTGAAGCCTCATATAACAACAGACTGAAGGCAGAAGCAGATATGAGAATCTCTTTTATTAAGCCAACTATCAGAGATTTGTAAAAATAAAAAGCAGTGATTTTCTCGCTAATTTTTTTGTTTCAGAAAATAGTTCTCTCTCACGTAATTTATATTAACATGTTGGGTTTATTATTTTAAAAATATAGGTCAATTACCATTTTTGAAGCTTCTCAATTTCTTAATATAGTAAATATGAACAGATATGAACCACATAAACAAAAGCTATTGAGGGTTTTAAATACTTTTAAGAGTATAAAGTAGTCCTGAAATCAAAAGAAGGCTTGAAACCACTGGCCTAGATAACTGTCCAGTGAAACAGGTACTATAATCTGTATAACAATTCACCTACTACACATATGTTAAAGGGTGGTGAAACTGTTCTATATGATACTGTAATGGTGTATACATGACATTATGCATTCATCAAAACCCACAGTACTTGAAAGCACAAAGAGGGAAGCTTAATGTACGCAATATCATTTAAGAGATCAGGGATCCCACAAAAGCATGTATACTCAGCTTTGCTGAAGGGCTGGGTGGAAAAGATGCTGATTGAAACAACTTTGGAAATAAGTGGACTCTGTAAAACTACAGGCAAAAGGACCTTGCACAAGCACTGAGGCTTCTCACCTCAGAATGAGTTTATACTTCTGATACTGCTGTACATATATACTGGAATTAAGCAAATAACTAAGTGCATAACAGATAATGGGAATTTACAGATAAGCAAGGAGACTAGCTTAGCATACCCATATGGTAATGGATTAGAGCCAGAAACATCAGTATAAACTCATGTTTAACTTAATATAGTTAGAGATGGTTACATACAGAAATATTTATAGATATGTGTATATACAATTTATGTATACCTTGCTCTGTCAGTTGAGAGGGCCTATAATCAAGACACCCCAAGAGAAACAAACACACCTATTGCCCAGATCTTGGTTTGTAATACAATTCTCCAATAAAAGGAACCAGGTAGGCTAATCAAGAAATGGCTCATTCTAGGAGGATGGCAGGAAATACATGAGATGAACTTGGAGCATCTTTAATACCAAAAAATAAGAAAGTGCTAAAAACCAAAAACAAAGAACAAAACAAAAACCACCTGCACTGATAGGGTATGTCAAAGGGGAAGGAGACTCACTGAAAGAGCTCCAAATACCCAATCCTGGGATAATTTGAGTAACAAAATTAAAAAGTACTGGATTATAACCCAAAATATAAAATATGTATCCATGAATCTATACTGATATAAATACATGACTGAATAAATACATATATTGGGGAGAGGAGACCAATCTCCCTTGCAGAAGAATTTTGAATAATAGTGTGAGTATTTTGCTCTCAAAGAGGAGGAGTATGACTTTCCACTCTGTAAGTAAAGGCTGCACATAGTGATTTCCTGTCAAAGAGTAAGTAGGGAAACGGAGGGGAAAAGAGAGCATTAATTTACAGTGGAGAAATCACTGAACACGATGTCAGCCAGGTGATCAAGCTCAATATCAACAGGCGAGAAATCATGTTGATACCATGTAACCTTGACATCATTTGGTAAAAAATGACACTTTATCTCTATGGTCTTCCTCCCCACAAAAACAACCCTAGGTCTAATCATGAGAAAAAAAAATACCACTCAATAATTCCGATAGAGGTGCATCTTATAAGACACTTGGATACAAAATCTTACAAAAACAAGAAATGTCTGAGAAACTGTTATATCCATGAGGACCCTAAGGAGACATGACAAGTAAATGTAATGTGGTATCCTGAATGGGACCCTGGAATAGAAAAAGACGTCATGTAAGGAAATAAGAATAAACTATGGACTTTAGTTAACAATAATGTGTCAGTAACAATAATTTTAACAAATGTATCAGCTAAATGTTAGATTTTAAACATAGGCAGAACTGGGTGCAGGGAACTCTGTACCAGCCTTTCAATTTTTCTGTAAAGCTGAAAGTTTTCTAAAAAAATAAAGTATTTTTTAAAAGTACATTAAAGTACTGACTAAGCATTACAGATATACAATTAATTATAAAGAGTCAAAACTGTTGTTCCATGAGAATAAATCCTTAATTGTAATTCAGGAAAGTCATGTGCAATGAAAAAACTTGAAAATTCGACAATTCAACTTCATTAAGTAGTCTATATACTTTTAAACATAAAGTTTAACAATGGTTTTTCAACCTACCATTTTTTTCTCCCATCTTTTAGTGCTGTTTACAAACATAAAATTCTTCGAAATTAACTTTATCAAAGAATTGAATCACTTTGATTGTAGAATATAACTGGAATCCAACTGTGGTCTCTGAAATTTGCAGTACTCAGAGAAAATATATCATTATACTGTTTTAAGCCGAATATTCGTTGACACTTGAATTTTAAACTGTGCTTGAAGAAACTTTCAGAAATGATTACTAGTCCAACTTAATGGTCACTCCATGAATCTCTGTCAAGTGAACACGTACAGTTGTATCAGATCATCAACAATATCTTTTTAAAAACAAAAATCAACTCCATCTTTTGGTCCACGAATACATGAAACATTCTGTAAGGAAAATAATAAGGAATGGTAAATGGCATATTTGAAAATAATAAAATATATCAGAAAAAAAGGGTTGTTGTAACAATAGCTCTTTTAAAATAGCATGAACTATTATGAAAAAAGAATACATATTAACTGGAAAAACATGTAAAATATCAATATTACAAATATTATAGAAAAATTCAAAATTACCTATTTAAAATATGTTAATAAAAACTATCTCCATTTCATAAACCTTTAAAAACTTTTAAATGGGGCTAATCATGTTAACTACTTCAAAAGACTGTTGTGAGGCCGACTTAATCCCTTAGAATAATACCCGGCACATTACAAAGGACTCAATAAATGCTAACAGTCATTATTATTCTTTCAGTATATATACTTTAAAAACAAAATTTGAATTTTAGTATATATAAATTTTTATAATCTTTCATTGATAATATATCTTGTACTTTCTCTCATCATAAATGTTTTCCTATAATATGACCTTTTAAGTGATTGTACAATATACTTTGGTCAATAATCCATGTTAAATTATACTAAAGAATTTTAACAATTAAAATGTAGTAAGTTGTTAAGTAAACCTCTATATCAGACATTTAGATTATTTCTGTTTTTCCAATACAATAAATAATGATGTAATATACTTTATGGCTATCTCTGATTATTTATTTAAGATATACACCTAGAGGTGGAACTCAGGGTCAAAAAGAGGTCAGCAGTTTTAGTCTCAGGATGTTAGTCAATATATGATAAATTCTTCTCCTACTCCCACACCAAATTCACAGAAATCTTAATTTTTCTAATTAAAAATATAGAATCATGCTGAAAATAAAAAGGAAATTATCTATAGACTGAGTCTGTGGGACCTCTCTGTGGAAAGGCAACAGATGGGAAGTTGCAAAGATAATGTCAACCACAAATATATCATGGCAAAATAAAGAGAAGATCCTCTCAGAGGAGATGAATATATACAACCAAGAGTCATCAAACATCTGAAAAAAGTTACACCATGGAAGACACTTAACAAGCCCACCAAACTGATGAACTGAATTGAATTCAAGAGGATTAACAGAGCGGCCTGAAAATAGTTTTAAAACAAATAGTATTGTATTTAATATCAAAGAGCTAATGAAGGAGGCCTCATCTATGAAATAACATACAATTCTGAAAAATAATTAACTGGATATCTCGGATATAAAAGTAGTTGTTAAATAAACTCAATAATTAACAGTCATAGTAACATAGATTCAAATGAAGAGCCAGTTAGTAAGCTAGGAGATGAAGTTGAGTAATTCACTCAGAATATAGAGCAAAGAACTGACAAAAAGAGGGGTAAGCAGACAGAAGACAAGGCAATAATGACCAAAAAATTCTTATAACTGGAAAACACATAGGCCACTAAGGGTACACTGAGTTACAAAATAAACTTATTAATACACACCACTAGACAAACCATGGGTAAACTTCAGAATATCAAGAATAAAGACAAAGTCTCAGAAACTTTCAGGAAATCTAGATGATCTAAAATGAACATTTATCAAACTGGTAATCAGACTTCTCATCAGAAATGTCGATGCAAAATGTTAAGGGAAAATAAGTCTGAATCCAGAATACTATTTCAGCCACGTTATGTTTCAATAGTAGGAGTTAAAGAAAAAAAAGACTCTTACACTCAAAGAGCCAGAGACTCTGAAAGAAATGAAGAAGTACTTCATTAATAAAAATTAACCTAAAAAAAAAAAAACTAACCTAGAAGGAAGTACTGCGGTAAAAGAAGAAAAAGTGAGCAAATACATAAATAAAACACATTAATGCTACATAAAAACAGATTAAAAGTGGGTTTTAATGACAAATGAAATAATGCTAGAAGATAAAACCACAGGAAATTAACGTTCTTTTTGGAGGAGGGACTGAAGGGGATTGTTGTAAGATTACAGAAAGTAAAGTAAATCATACTAAGTTCTTTGCAGAGAGGATATCAATACGAATTAAATGTATGAATTGCATTAAAAATATAAAGGTAACACTTTGGAAAGCAACTATCCTCCAATAAAAATTAATTTTAAAAAATGTAAAAAGTACAGTATGAAAAAGAAAACAGAACAAAGAAAACTTAGGGCTAAACTCAAAGAAAAATGGAAAAATACAAGATACAAAAGATACGAACAGAAACACGGTAAATAAAGAGGACATGAAAGAGGCCAATTAAGTTAGTAATCACAAAAAAGGTTTTCTTCAGTAAATTTGCAGAATATTGTAAAGCATAGAGAAGAAAATTTAAATCATTCATAATCTCATCATCCAGAGACTACCAATTTAACTTTAGATTTTAACAGTACTTAAAAATTTGTTCATATTTTCCCCCCTTCTCACTTTTTCATTTTGGCAGAAAAATACTGATTCGCTTTATTTATGGTTCGTTTTCACCAATAGGCTTTTGTGAAACTGTGACTCTTTCTTCCGTTATGTTTTAACAGTGATGACAGTAATGAATATTGAGTATAAACCACGTGTCAGGCAGGCTTCTAAACACTTCCCGTGTTCTTATTAACCTGCATAACAATCACGAGGGACAAACTGTAGCATGCCTGGTTTTTCTCACAAAGAAGCTAAAGCATATTACACTGTAAATAGCAAAGACAAACTAAGGAACCAAGCAGCCTGGTTTCTGAGCCCGTTTTTTGATCCTTCTAATCTATCGCCTCATTCTTAACACACAAGAACTCACTGCAGGATTCCACTTGCTGATGAGCACAATTACATATTGTTTTTTATTTTACTTCCTACCTATTGGGGATAACTACTTATTGGGTTGTGGTTAATTAGAGTCAGGAGCTCTGAGCATCTGCTCTCAACTCCGTGATCTTGGGGAAATGATTTTACTTATTCAGGGTTTCTGTAGTCTTACCTGTGAAACGGGTCAGTGGTTAAATCATCAAGTTCTGCTTCTGGGTTTTGAACTGCAGCTCATTTTCCGCAGCCCCTTTCACAGCTTCAGGTTCCCAGCTGCTTTAGGAATCACCTCTCAAGAATGTGTGCAACCGGATGACAGGAGACTGAAATGCGGGGGGTGAGAACTCAGGGCGCCCGCGATCCCCCCGCTTCAGCCCGGGACTGTACGCGGGTGAGAGGGACAAGGGAGGTCGCAAAGGCTGGGATCCAGGCAAGAGTTGCGCCGCGTTCCCCGGTCCTGGAGCGAGGCTTCGGGAGGGCCACCCACGGCCGTTACACTAGCTCAGCTGACGCTTTCCACGCAGCCCGCGACAGCCGAGAGCTGCGCTCCGCCCGCCCCGCTGGCGAGGCTGAGTTCCCCGCGGGTCTGACTCCTCTCCCACTCAACGCCGCCGAGAAGCCGCGGCCTCAGGTGCCCCCTGGCCGGGAAGTACTTCCCATTTACTATACCTCACCTTAGCCAACAGTCCCTCTGGCCTCAGCTGGGTAAGGAGGACCGCCCATATTTCCAACCCGAAATGGGAGGAGTAGGACACCGACCGCTCCCACTACCCAGCCCCTAGCTCATTGACTGCACACCCCCAACCGGGTTCACGCCTCAGAGGTTCCGAGCACGTACACCCTGCAACGCGGCGGCACTTGAGCGCGCCGTCTTCCGATTGGCTGTCAGAGCTCTCGGGTTGTCTCGCGCTCTCCGACTGGACCAATGCGGCTATCCACAGTTGAGAGGCCGGCAGCGCTGGAGGGGTGGTTCGTCTGTTTCCTCTGGTAGGTGCTTGGCTGCCATCTTGTGTGTGGCTGGGACTGGGCCGCTGGGCTTTTGGAACCTTAGCGATTCAAGCTATAGAGATGTCCTGAAGAAGCAGTGGAGGAAAGAAGGGGCCTGAGGAAACAGACCTGGAAGCTTCTTACCTCCCTGAAAGGGAAAAGTTTTCCTGGTCTGAGTCTCAGCCCTGGCTGGAAAGAGAGATAAATGATGGAGGTGATTTAGGATCACAGGCTTTGGTTTGTTATTGTCAGGGCTTGGCGTAGACTCTGATGCTTTAACGGTGATCCCTTGGGTTCCAGGGAACTAGTCTAGTAATGTTGTCTGCGAAAGATTCTGACCATCAACCCTCTATACTGACAAGGAAGGTTGTCTGATGGAGAAACGAACAAGCCTGGTAATGGAAGAAGAGAGGGAGATACGACTATCTTTACGAGTCCGAAGAGACGTCTTAATTTTCTGTCGTTTGCGAGGGAGTGACTACTCATGTGTTTTGCTTAACCTCTAAGACCATCCTTTGGAAGCCGTGAGCCCCAGGTTCTGTGTTAGAGCAGTTTTATTCATTAGTGTACAACCGGCACTCCTGCAGTGGGGTTTTTGTTTGTTTGTTTGTTTAAAAGCTAGAACGTGGATGGCCTTTGCAGAAACAGTGGAAGCGAAGGAAGAACTTTGTCAAATCTTGGTTTTTCTGATTACGATCTGCTGAATATTTGGGAATCTCAGGGTTTGCCTTGCATGCTTGGCGGCTTCGTCCTGGGTAGGCAGAGGTTTGTGTAAAAGATAGCATTTTTTAACTCCCAAGCTCTTTGAGATGGGAGGACGGAGGCAGGAATTATCTCCTTCTCCTCTTTATTATTTTTAAAAACCAAAGTAGAAAGCTTGCTTGGTTATTCATTTGAGGGGGAAATTATCTCAGATCCGAAAACCTAGCTAAAAGGCTAATAGTTTATGATTAACGTTAGCCCCGTTTTGATACTCATGAGAAGAAGCAAAGATACTGCCTTGAGTTTAGAAATCATTTTTCAAGGTAAACTGGTAACCCAATCAAGTCAACAGTGCCTTTTATTTTGTGGCAGGAGTATCAAGGAAAACAGCAGTAAAATAAACTGAAAATTAATTTTCTTTAAAAATTTTACTTTTTATCCATGAATCTTAAAAACAAGTTATAAGAGTTCAAATATCAGTAATTTATTATGGAGTTGATAGCTTAGGTACTAGGTGCCTAAGGAATTTTGGTGTCTATGGGGAGTTTTGGAACCAGTACTTGGCTCTGGAGAACTGTATAGGCTATCAAAGGGTTTGGTGGCTAACAAACACCAATATCACAAAGTAGCTGCTCAGTAAATGTTTGTGAAAGCCTTTGGGTAAGGATAACATGGTAATAGTTCTTGGCGTATATTCAAAAATATAATTGCTGAATGAATAAATTAAAAAAATACAGCAATTGGGAGGTATGGATACACTTTTTTTTCAGTTGAGTTCAGGTGCTCAGTCGTGTCTGACTCTGCGACCGCATAGATTGCAGCACGCCAGATCTCCCTGTCCGTCATCAACTCCCAGAGTTTACTCAAACTCATGTCCACTGAGTTTACTCAAACTCGTGTCCGTTTTTTTTTCTTTAGCCTAACTGGAAAATAATTGTTTAATTTGCTTTCCAGAAAACTTGAACTTGTTTGTTTTTCTTTTCCAGTTTATACATTAGAATAATACTAAGGACAGGTTCATAATCCTTTTTTTCTGAGATCTGTTTATGAGATCCTACAGTAGAGATAATGAAAATGAACCCTTAAGTAATAATGCTCTATTTGCCATTTTTTTTCTTGAAAGTATCCAGTCTCAGTAAAGGATGCCAAACTTATTGCTTTCAGTCTCTTCTGCTGAAGAAAATTTATTACTCTTCTATCTTCTTTTTAACACAACTTAAAGTCAAAATACTGTGTTTACATTTATTATATTGCATAAATATATTCTATATATAAGTAATTTTAAAATAACAAATTAGGTGAGTATCCACAGACTTTTGTTTGAAGAATATAATTCTCTAGATTTCATAATATATAATCTGAAGATCCATAGAAATGTTTGAAAATAACACTTTTACGTGAACAATGTTAAGTGATGTTAAGTAAAAGTGATTTAACTTTGATGTTAGAGATTATTTTTAATGCAATCTCATATATACAAATTTAGATTTTTTCCCATTATCAAGTGATACATAGTTTTTAAAAGAAAAAGATCCATGACACCTTTTAAATATGTTTTGTGACTGAATATAGATTAGAGTCTATCTAACAGCATTTTATTTATTTTTTAATTATTTTTTCATTTATTTTTATTAGTGGGAGGCTAATTACTTTACAATATTGTAGTGGGTTTTGCCATACATTGACATGAATCAGCCATGGATATACATGCTAACACAGCATTTTAAAAAGTCAGTAAAAATTGTTCCCATAACCTGTTTGGAATTCTTGCATTTGGTACTTCAAAATGCCAAAAGGTTTTATGAGTGAAGGTTTTAGAGTGATGATAAGCATTTCTTTTATATTATTATTAAAGTAGAGTTGACTTAAATATTATATAGTTTCAGGTGTTCATTGCAATTCAATATCTTTATATATAATTTAATATAAAATATTGACTATATTTTTTATGAACTAAACGTGAGTCTGTTCACCTGCCATACAGCAAAGCCAATTTATTGACATTGTCTATGGTAAAGGAAAGTACAGTGATTATTGCAGGCCCTAATAAGAAGTATGGGCAGCTCATGTTAAAAAGAGCCAAACTCCTGGGTGGTTTTCAGGGGATCGGTTTTAAAGACAACATTTCACGGTGAGGGCTGCAGAATTCATGACTTTCTTCTGATTGGTTGGTAGTGAGGTAATAGTGATGCTTCAGAAGTCTCAATCGTCAACCTTCTGGCCCTAGCTCATCTGGGGTCTAGTGCTTGAGGATGTAGTCACCATCCTCCACCTGGGTGGAGAGTTGGGTGGGGGGCTTAGTTCCTGATAAAGATATCTGTCAGATTGTTATGTCTATCCCTTGAGGAGGAACTAAGACTCTGCTTTATCACTGAATTATTGTCATTACTTTTCTTGTTTAACTGCTTTTCCTTTGTTTCTGCATTCCCTCATTTCCATAATTAGTAACTGCCCGTGCCTGCTCTTTGGAACTCAGGGAAAGCCTGGAAGACTAAAGCCTTTTTCTACAAACAAAGAAATGGGGAACCCAGAGGGGGCTTTTGTACCAAGGGGGCCCCCCAGGAACATGCTTTGTTTCAGTACCTCCTTTTTCTGTGATACTGCTTAATCTTGAGGAGAACAGGTGGGGACAAGAAAGGGAATAAAGTTTTGGTTGGAGAGGTTAATTATAAACTCAGCAGAGGAACTCAGTTTTAGGGGGACTCAGTTTCATATTCCCTGTGCTGTACATTACATTCTTGTAACTTTTTAGTTTTATGCCTAGCAGCTTGTACCTCTTAATCCTCTTCACCTGTTTTGCCTTGTACCCATACCTCTCCTCTTTGGTAACCACTAGTTTTTTTTCTTTGTATAGTATCTGTGAGTCTGTTTCTGCCTTGTTACATTTGCTTTATTTTTTAGTTTCCGTATATAAGTGAAAATACAAGCACTTCTTTATTAAAAAAAAAAAACATTAAAATGTGATAGGTTTTCCTCTCTGTAACTATATTGCATATAATCATCCTTTTAAAATTTATTTTGAAGTACCGGAAATACTTTGCTGGGCTTTGTAATTAGTTTTGACCATGTAGATGTCACTTTAGGGGGAACATTTTGAAATTTTCAGAAATATTTCTATATTCTTCTTTAATTTGATGTGTTTCACCATTATTTTTCTGATATTCAATAAGGTCCATTATGGGAATAAAACAATGTGACTAAAAATAAAAAATTATGTAAAACTTATAAAGATCATTTTATTTTATAACTCAGAGAGCTATATTCAATATTCCTGATGTAAACTGTTTTGGAAAAGAAAATAAAAAATGTATTCATGTATAGCTGAATCAATTTTCTGTGTGACAGAAAAAGACACATCATTGTAAGTTAACTATTTCAATTTAAAAAATAAAAACTATAAAAATCAAAATGACTTCTGCAGTTTGTGCTTTTCAGCTAATCAATGGAATTGATTGGATGTCTGAATTATGAGAATGTCCATTAACTACTGAAAATTCTTCTGAGGTAAACACATGGTACACTTATATTTCACTTAAGCAAGGAAATGTTTAAATTATTATATATTTAGGTTTTTTGAAAAGCATAGGGGAATTGAAACACTACTTCTTCCTTTGAAATCTCACTTGTTCCTGCTGTTCATTTTTGTGTAAATGAGCCCTAATTCTAAAGTTCTGCTCTCTTAAGCACTTAACACATGTCTCACAGCCTTTTGATAATTAGATCTACTCAATTTATGTACTACTCACCCTCTTTCATGTTTCCTATCTTGATTAATGGCTTTTCAGTGGCTCAGATGTAGA